AATTGGGAAGAAGTTAAAATACCCAAAATCGATCTTGGATCTTGCGTTTGGTCAAGCAAAAAGGACTTTCTACAAACAGACTACTAAGTCGAAACCAGAACTGAAAAATTCGTTGGTATTACCATATTCTGAGGGTCTAGTAAATCTTGCCCCAGCCCTGAAGAACCTTAATATTAATCTAGTGTTCAAAAATGATAATACAGTTAAGTCCATGTTAATTAAGAACTCGCCCTCGTCTGTAGCAGGTTGTGTGTATTCCATCCCTTGTAATGAGTGTGCATGTGTTTACATCGGCCAGACTGGTAAATCTCTTTCCTCGCGTTTAAAACAGCATTCATATGCTATTCGTACAGCCCAGCAATCCAGTGCATTGTATTTACATTCCAGTTTATGTAATCATTCTATCGACTTCACAGGGGCAAAATGTATTGTTAAAAGTAAGGATTTTGTTGAACGAAACGTGATCGAGTCTGCTCTGATCAAACATTGTAACAACAGCCTTAATGTGAGCCCCGGTATGTACAGTTGGATCCCTATTTAAGCCTCAATATAGCACGTCAAAACAATATAGCAATCATTTAAACACGTATGGCACTTGGAGATATTAAAAGGAGCTGCCTTGTATGGGCCAATAGGCCTTCTGCAGTTACCTTCTTTCTTATAATTCCTTTCCTCCACTTATTTTTGGTGGTCAGGTGATCTGCCCAGGCGGATATAAAGGTCTGATCAGCAAACTTATCTTCATTCTACTTTGCTCTGATGAAGGCGAATAACCCGAAAACGCGTTAAGCATTTTCTATTTTTCATATGTGGTTATTCTGCATACTTGGATCAGTGTTTTTGTGATCATTGTTGCATATATATATATATATATATATATATATATATATATATATATATATATATATATATATATATATATATATAGATATATATATACAACTTTAGAACACTTTCCCACCAGGAGACTCGAACCCTAGCCAGCACAGAAGCCTTCCAGCAACTGGCATAACAGGTACGCCTTAACCCGCTCCACCACCAGCTCAGACCCTTAAAAGAGATGGTAATTTCGGAGTATTTAAATACACCAAAGATCACCACCTCCCAAGAGCACTAGAGCAAGTGAGGGGTCATTTAGACGGTAATTTCATCAAGTCCCTGTTAATATGGGAAGACACAGCATCTATGCTTAAGGCACAACTCTCCTAAACACGAGAGTGAAGTGTACAACTTTAGAACACTTTCCCACCAGGAGACTCGAACCCTAGCCAGCACAGAAGCCTTCCAGCAACTGGCATAACAGGTACGCCTTAACCCGCTCCACCACCAGCTCAGACCCTTAAAAGAGATGGTAATTTCGGAGTATTTAAATACACCAAAGATCACCACCTCCCAAGAGCACTAGAGCAAGTGAGGGGTCATTTAGACGTTAATTTCATCAAGTCCCTGTTAATATGGGAAGACACAGTGTCTATGCTTAAGGCACAACTCTCCTAAACACGAGAGTGAAGTGTACAACTTTAGAACACTTTCCCACCAGGAGACTCGAACCCTAGCCAGCACAGAAGCCTTCCATCAACTGGCATAACAGGTACGCCTTAACCCGCTCCACCACCAGCTCAGACCCTTAAAAGAGATGGTAATTTCGGAGTATTTAAATACACCAAAGATCACCACCTCCCAAGAGCACTAGAGCAAGTGAGGGGTCATTTAGACGTTAATTTCATCAAGTCCCTGTTAATATGGGAAGACACAGTGTCTATGCTTAAGGCACAACTCTCCTAAACACGAGAGTGAAGTGTACAACTTTAGAACACTTTCCCACCAGGAGACTCGAACCCTAGCCAGCACAGAAGCCTTCCAGCAACTGGCATAACAGGTACGCCTTAACCCGCTCCACCACCAGCTCAGACCCTTAAAAGAGATGGTAATTTCGGAGTATTTAAATACACCAAAGATCACCACCTCCCAAGAGCACTAGAGCAAGTGAGGGGTCATTTAGACGTTAATTTCATCAAGTCCCTGTTAATATGGGAAGACACAGTGTCTGCTTAAGGCACAACTCTTCTAAACACGAGAGTGAAGTGTACAACTTTAGAACACTTTCCCACCAGGAGACTCGAACCCTAGCCAGCACAGAAGCCTTCCAGCAACTGGCATAACAGGTACGCCTTAACCCGCTCCACCACCAGCTCAGACCCTTAAAAGAGATGGTAATTTCGGAGTATTTAAATACACCAAAGATCACCACCTCCCAAGAGCACTAGAGCAAGTGAGGGGTCATTTAGACGTTAATTTCATCAAGTCCCTGTTAATATGGGAAGACACAGTGTCTATGCTTAAGGCACAACTCTCCTAAACACGAGAGTGAAGTGTACAACTTTAGAACACTTTCCCACCAGGAGACTCGAACCCTAGCCAGCACAGAAGCCTTCCAGCAACTGGCATAACAGGTACGCCTTAACCCGCTCCACCACCAGCTCAGACCCTTAAAAGAGATGGTAATTTCGGAGTATTTAAATACACCAAAGATCACCACCTCCCAAGAGCACTAGAGCAAGTGAGGGGTCATTTAGACGTTAATTTCATCAAGTCCCTGTTAATATGGGAAGACACAGTGTCTATGCTTAAGGCACAACTCTCCTAAACACGAGAGTGAAGTGTACAACTTTAGAACACTTTCCCACCAGGAGACTCGAACCCTAGCCAGCACAGAAGCCTTCCAGCAACTGGCATAACAGGTACGCCTTAACCCGCTCCACCACCAGCTCAGACCCTTAAAAGAGATGGTAATTTCGGAGTATTTAAATACACCAAAGATCACCACCTCACAAGAGCACTAGAGCAAGTGAGGGGTCATTTAGACGTTAATTTCATCAAGTCCCTGTTAATATGGGAAGACACAGTGTCTATGCTTAAGGCACAACTCTCCTAAACACGAGAGTGAAGTGTACAACTTTAGAACACTTTCCCACCAGGAGACTCGAACCCTAGCCAGCACAGAAGCCTTCCAGCAACTGGCATAACAGGTACGCCTTAACCCGCTCCACCACCAGCTCAGACCCTTAAAAGAGATGGTAATTTCGGAGTATTTAAATACACCAAAGATCACCACCTCCCAAGAGCACTAGAGCAAGTGAGGGGTCATTTAGACGTTAATTTCATCAAGTCCCTGTTAATATGGGAAGACACAGTGTCTATGCTTAAGGCACAACTCTCCTAAACACGAGAGTGAAGTGTACAACTTTAGAACACTTTCCCACCAGGAGACTCGAACCCTAGCCAGCACAGAAGCCTTCCAGCAACTGGCATAACAGGTACGCCTTAACCCGCTCCACCACCAGCTCAGACCCTTAAAAGAGATGGTAATTTCGGAGTATTTAAATACACCAAAGATCACCACCTCCCAAGAGCACTAGAGCAAGTGAGGGGTCATTTAGACGTTAATTTCATCAAGTCCCTGTTAATATGGGAAGACACAGTGTCTATGCTTAAGGCACAACTCTCCTAAACACGAGAGTGAAGTGTACAACTTTAGAACACTTTCCCACCAGGAGACTCGAACCCTAGCCAGCACAGAAGCCTTCCAGCAACTGGCATAACAGGTACGCCTTAACGCGCTCCACCACCAGCTCAGACCCTTAAAAGAGATGGTAATTTCGGAGTATTTAAATACACCAAAGATCACCACCTCACTTGCTCTAGTGCTCTTGGGAGGTGGTGATCTTTGGTGTATTTAAATACTCCAAAATTACCATCTCTTTTAAGGGTCTGAGCTGGTGGTGGAGCGGGTTAAGGCGTACCTGTTATGCCAGTTGCTGGAAGGCTTCTGTGCTGGCTAGGGTTCGAGTCTCCTGGTGGGAAAGTGTTCTAAAGTTGTACACTTCACTCTCGTGATTAGGAGAGTTGTGCCTTAAGCATAGACACTGTGTCTTCCCATATTAACAGGGACTTGATGAAATTAACGTCTAAATGACCCCTCACTTGCTCTAGTGCTCTTGGGAGGTGGTGATCTTTGGTGTATTTAAATACTCCGAAATTACCATCTCTTTTAAGGGTCTGAGCTGGTGGTGGAGCGGGTTAAGGCGTACCTGTTATGCCAGTTGCTGGAAGGCTTCTGTGCTGGCTAGGGTTCGAGTCTCCTGATGGGAAAGTGTTCTAAAGTTGTACACTTCACTCTCGTGTTTAGGAGAGTTGTGCCCATATATATATATATATATATATATATATATATATATATATATATATATATATATATAAATATATATATATATATATATATATATATATATATATATATATATATATATATATATATATATATATATATATATATATATATATATTTATATATATAGTTAAATATGACCGAAAAAGTAAGATTAATAATTGTGAACGTTGTGTGGTGAGGGATACATGTAATTAACATATGAGTTAGAAAACAGTGTTATCCATATCATGAACATAAGAGTGAGGAAGAATGGGTATTGGTAAGCGTGAGATTCAGAGTTCTGTCATTATTGTAGGGAACATTAAAGTGAGGATGTACCGGTATTCATGTGATGAACGTGATGTTCACGCAGTACTGTCATTCAGGACGAATGACAGTGTGAGATTGGTGAAGTATTGTTATTCATGTGATTATTGTGATGGAAAGGGTGTAGTTTTTTGTGAACAATAGGGATACGAGGGACTTTTGTTCATGTTTATATCAAATATATCACAAGGTATATATTGAACGAGAGAGAGAGAGAGACTGGAAGTATAAAAAGTGCCTTGAACCTTGCTGGGCAGCATTTTTTGCATATTATATGCAGTAATGAAAAATTTTAAATCTATTTAATCATGAAATTTTGCATTACTTTTGGTGACTATTTCAACTAAAATGTACTGGACATAAATTTATAAACAATATTTTTAGACTGGTATATAATCTTCTGTTATTGTCATTAACACTTATAAAATTAAATAAACAAACAAAGAAACACATAAATACTTACCGAGGTCCTCCAAGAGATAGAGGTGGGGCAAGTGTGTGATGAGGGCGCGCAGCTGGGGTAGTGAGAGTGTGAGTGTCAGTTGTGTGAGAGTGTCAGGCAGGCGGGGTATGGCTCCCTCAGACAAGTGACCCTCAAACTTGTCTAGGCTACACTTACTGCCAGGAGCTGTCAGGATCTCCAAACACATGTCTGAGAGACCGTCAGTTCTGTCATAATAGTCGATAGATTCATCAACAGATACCGTTATATCCATGTTTGCCAATAGTGACATAACAAGCTGGAGCTGGCTTGGTTGTTCTCTACCCGAGATGCCCAGTAAGATGCTATCAGGGATTACCTCCTCAAGCACAAGTGGCAGGACAGCATAAGACTCAACACCATATACCTCCCAGTGCTCTTGTTCAGGTAATCTCTCCAACACTGCTTTAATGACGTCTTCATTCCTGAGGGACTCAAATATATGTCTCAACAGCCCATTGACGTCCCTTTGGAAGTTCACAAGACTAATGACCTGCTCAGTTACGCGAGAGGAAAACCTGTGTGTCGGGTTACGAGTACACAACACACCGGTGGTACTGAGTAAGATGTTCTGGCAACGGTTTTCATTAAGTACCTCAACTTGCATGTTTTCTTCTCCTTGCAGCAGTACATCCCGCACAAGGCTGGCGCTCAAGTCTTCCTCTGACACGCTATATGGTGCTCGCTCCTCACCACCTTCCTCTGCCGTCAGTAATTGTGTAACCAGGGCCTTGCTAGCACAGTGTTCCTGGTACCTGGAGTGAAAATAGCCAAACATCAAGACTATCTCAGTACCTCGACATGAACTGGTTCTTGTAAAATAGGTGGACAAGACTTCCTCCTGTGGTAGCTCAAGAGAGTCACACTTGATCCTAATCTCATCTACTGTTGCCTGCAAAAGATCAAATTCTTTTCTGTTGATAGCCTTTAAACTGACCTCTTCAAAGAAAAACAAAAACTTGTCACATTTTTCTTTGGAGTTGGTCACATGTTGGACTTCGAGTCTGGATATTAACTTGTTGGTTATAAACTGGTGAATCGCCTCGTAGACTTCGGTGACTGTGGTGAGTTTGTTGAATTCTTCTGGAGCCTCGACGCACAGCAGCGCCAACAATGTCAAGGTTGGTGGATTATTGAGGTACTCACCCCGGAGGTCTCCCAGTTGCTCCAACCGCTGTATAAACCTTTCACTGATGGCTCTTTGTTGGTTCTCCTCAACCACCAACACATTGATGATTCTGTTGGCGTACTCAGAGTGAAGTTCTGTACTGATACCCAAGACCTTGATGTTGCACCGTGTTTTGTTAGTTGGAACGAGCTCTGAGAATTCTTTTTCCCATCCTGATCGTGTAGTTACCACCAATCTCACATCCTTGCCAGGCAGGCCAAACAGCTCCTTCACTAGCTTCTCTGAATGAACGTTCATCTCGTCACAGCCGTCAATCAAGACTAATATGTGTAAGTTTAAGATTATGTTCTTAAATATCTTGAAATCAATTTCTGATTTTTGAAATGTTAGAGATAACAAGATCTTGAGGAGATCATCGAAGGTATTAAGATGTGTATCCCTGCACTGTACATAGAAAACGAGGTCCACAGTGCCCAGGTGACGTATGGCAGCAGGGTCCTCTACCCACTTCTCGAGGATGAGCTTGAGTAAAGTTGTCTTGCTCATATCATCTTCTCCTGTTAGGAGGATACACTGAGGGGCTTTTTCGTACTCTCCTTCGGAACTTAAGAGGTCTTCATGTTTAATGTCCTTGGACGTGTGGGAGGGTCTTGCACCTTTTGTGGGATCTTGAACAAGTTGCAGACTTGTGAAAGTAAGACCTGGACTGTATTTAATGTTGAGGGGAAGCCAGGAAGCGGGAACGATCTGGTACAGCTTTTTATACCCGTCAGTTACCTCTTGTTTACTCATCTCCTTAATCTCTTTTGTTATTTGGGTTTTGTAGTCTTCAATCTCCTGATGGAGCTGATCCAAGTGTGTCATATCTGAGGGATCCAGTGGCTCTCTGACATTTCCTCGGAGTCCATCAATATACTTAATAACATCCTTAATCACATGGTCCACTTCCTGGCTGTCTTTACCGCACCTGACGCCGGCTTCAGCCAACATGTCCCTCAGTAAGTACTTAAACTCTGTAAGCGTTGTCATCAGGTCCTCCTCCGTCATCTTCACGTGTTCAAGGGCCATCGTGTTATAGTGTTGCTTCACTTTGTAGATGAAGTGTTCGAGCGTTGGCCCCGGAGTGGTCCACGTTGCCGCATTAGTCTTGGCCAGACCACACACGCGTTGCAGAAGTTTATATATTAACGTGATATCAAAGGCAGTGACATCTGTGGATTTTTCGAGCTTATCTCGGTGATGAGCGTCGAAGGTCAGCTTGTACTCAGTGTCAGTATACTCGGGGATCTGAGTGAGGTGAGTCTTTACTGGGTGACCTCCCTGGTACAACCAAGCGAACACACTAGCTAGTGCATCTCGTCCGGCCTTAGTTACAGCCAGTTCATACCGCAATCTGTTGAGATCATCCTCTTGCACTACTGGCGGTGGTGTGGAGGCAGACATATTGGTCGTGATGATTTACTCCACACACTTCTGTACTCAAGTGTTAGAACAGCTGTCAGTGGACCCTCTCTGGAATTATGTAATTTGGAAAAATTTAAATGTTGTCCAAGTGGTGCACAAATAAGCAAAATATGAGTTAAATTTACTAAATTATGTCCAACACAGAAAACATTGAAACCTTTCTACTGAATTTAATCAAAATCAAAATTACCAGTCCTAAAACTGTACTGGAAAATTTCATAATATTTGCAATGAATACCATATTTAAAGCATTACACGAACTTTCCGTTTGTGAATTGATTCCTGCGTCCTCTGTTACTACTATAACTCACAGTATTATATATATAATTTTTTGTTTTGCGTGAGTAGATTACCTTGCCCCTGTCGCATATATTATTCCTAAAAGAATGAGTACTCATTGGTTTGTTTGTTGACCTACGTAAGACATTTGACACTGTTAACCACAATAATCTTCAGAAACTCCAACACCAAGGCGTCAGAGATCACTCCCCTCAGTACTTGCAATCTTACTTCATTTACAGGCAGCCTGATGTTTCTATAAACGATACTACTTCTTTTTCTCAGCCAATTAACATTGGAGTTCTGCAGAAAAGTATACTAATATACTCTTTCTCATACACATAATCGATCTTCTAAATACCACGCAACACTTAAGCCCATTCTATTTGCTGGGAACACAGCCTTAATTTTCTTCCGCGCTAACCCACTTATTCTAAATGACACAACGAATACTGAACTAAATGAAGTCCATTTGCGGTTGACTGCTAACAAACTCACCCTTAACGTCGATTAGATGTTTTACACATTGTTTGGTAACAAGTCCATCAATCAAATCAACCTAAGAATTAACAATACCAAAATTGCGAGCAGAGTAGAGGGGAAGTTCCTTGTTGTTCAAATTTACAACAAACTAAATTTCTATTTCCGTATACAATATGAGACTAAACAAAATCGTTTCTAAAATAGTATGGATTCTCTTCGAAATCAGATGCTGCATACCTCACCCTGCCCTAGTAACTCTGTTTTATTTACTCATGTATCCATATCTCACTATGATATCAGTGCCTGGGTATCTACCACCCTTAATAACCTCTGACCATCTAATTACTCCACAAAAATCAGCAATTAGGACAATAACAAATTTCAGTCCCAGTCACCATTCTAATCCCTTACTGAAATCTTTGAACATGTTAAATATCAAGTCTCTTCATATATATATATATATACTCTTAAGCATTCTCTATATTTAGAACTGAGTGCAATGCCAATCATGACCTTATGAATTTCTTCGAGGGCTGTAATTGAACTCATGGTCACCTCATGAGAAACAAATATCTCCTTGATGTTCCTAGATTGACTCAACCAAAACGAAAATTCTATGCAAATCAAGGGTTGCAAATTTTGGAATGACCTCCCAAATGTGATTAAAAGCTGTATGTCTCCCAATCCTTTTAAAAGAGAGACTAAGTAATGTGTACTTGAATTAATTATGGCCTTTTTTATTAAGTATCTATAATTAGAGGATATTTTGATATTAAGTATCATCTAATTATTGTATCTCATTTACAATATTGCTTGTTCATATCCTTTATGATCTTTGTTTCATTCTAAGTGCTGGCCCCATTCAATAAAATTATATATTATACATTATGTTATGCTATGTTCCTATTACAATTAAAATAATATGGTTACATTGCATGTAGAATTTGGTCACATTTTATGAAGAACATGATCACATTTAGTGTTGTATATTGTCACATTAAATGTAGTACAAGGTCACATTTAATGTAGTGCAAGGTCATTAATAATGTTGAACAAAATCACAAATAAAAGTACATGGTGTTACGGTGCCCTCTCCTATCTCTTTCGTTTGCCTGCTTTAAGAGTCATATCAGCTTTCCCTACTGATTCTCTGAGGCTCAGGGAGTCTATTGACATATGTGGCGACCAGACCGGCTGCCGGTTAAAGGAAGGAAGTTACATTATAAGTTGTAAATAAGGGGAAATTGGCGCCCTGATATAAAATGAAAGAGTATCCCCTAATGCAGATATGACCTCTTGGAAGGGACACTAGCCGATCGCGGATTGGCCGACTTAGGTCGAGGGCGACCAATCAAGGCCCGCCGTGACGTCACCGAGTGCCCCGGGCGGCGCCAACGTCAGAGTTGACCCGACCTGGGAAACGACAGGACGCGCCTCGGTCTGCTCTCAAGGATTAGAGGCTCTACAAGCCTTTCTTAGTGGATTAGTGCTGGCTATTGCAGCCCATCTCACGTATTGGAGACCCCGCGCTTCTGGGAAGCGAAAAGGAACCAAGTTCATTGAGCGAAAGAGTGCCAAACTTGGAAAATATTCGGCGACGACGCTGGGCAGCGACGCTGGACGTTGGAGGGTCTGGAATCGTGTGGCGGGCAAGCCTAGCTGTGACCGGGTCACATCCACTGAGGGTTTTGGAAGGACGACACCGTGCCTAGGACAAGGAGCAACGCCTTGTGGAAGGGGCGAGTGGGGAAAAAATAGTGATTAGCTCAGCGCCCATCGATGAACCAGGATTGGGGCAGCTGAATCTCAGGGATTGGAACGGCGACGACGCGAAGGCTCCACGACACCTGAGGACCTGTGGAACGTCCTGCATCGTCAAGGATCGACCCAAGGAAGCGTGGGAACCTCACACCATCGAGGGACAGGCGTCGTGAGCCAGGAATGTAAGGTAGATCATTTTCCCTCCCATTACCCCTTGTGTGAGTAGGCTAGTTAGGCCACAATATTTACTTATGTATGTGGCAATAGGACATCAATACTTTAATAGTAGAATAGGCTGCAAGGCAGCTTGTGTCCAGGACTGTCAGAGAGGACAGTGTGTATGGATGGCAGGACAGTGAAGAAGAGGCGCCGACGTGGTGAAGAGGCCCTCCTGTGAGAGAGTGTGGGACTCCTGTCTTTCTGCCCAGTTGAAGGAGTGTTGGAGGTCGTGGAAGAAGAGGCTGACGATCTTCAGACTTATTATCCTTATTTTCATATTCATGTATTGCTTGTGTTTGTATGTGTGATCATGTAATTTGCATCAGTAAATACACACTTTTATCATTGTGTTTAAGTGTGCCTCCATTTATAACGTTTCTCTATGAGCATACACGAAGGTTATCATAGTACCACCTAGGGAACAGTACGTTCTCTATAGAAGTTCTTATTGCCTGGAGTGTGGTAAAGACAGCACAGACTTACATAAAAGTGTACCCTTAGCCCTCCGATCACTATCAGTGCCTGAATGGTGGCAACTATTAACGTGGTGGCTATAGAGAGGTAAAGCCACACAGACTTCCTGGGAGAGTACCCTGGGCCAATAGTCTAGTAGCAGATCTATGGGAGTAGCAATCTTCTGGCTACAAACAACATATGATACACCCACTGAACTGCATTGCTGGGGTGCAGATATAATAACCCAGCTGGCGACCTTGTTAAGAAGAAGATAGAGAAGACAGGCGGGAAAGGAGTTCCTGCAACCTTTTTGTCTGGCAGGCAAGACTCAGGGAGGTTATTATTATAAGGTAAGCCTGAGTCTTCCTTCACTCCTCCACGGGTCTAGGCCGGAACTGTTAACAGCAGTTTCCCCGTGTTTGACTGAAGGGCTTCCAGGGTGAATCAGTGGCACCCCTTTTGTGGTGGAAGCAAAGACCTGCGGAGGTGGGCATTGTTGGTCCTCTCCTGTGTGACCAAGGAGATCCCGGTGAATCCCGGGAGTCGGAGGGGCTGAGTATTCGGCCTTTTGAGCCCCTAGCAGCCGAGTGCTAGCAGAGCCCCGGCCCACCACCCTCCACGTGCCAATGGTCACATTTAATGTTGTACACGGTCGTTATTAATGTAATATATTGTCACATTTAATGTAGTAAAATGTCATTAATAATGAAGTACAAGGTCATTGTTAATGTTGAACCTGGTCACATTTAATGTTGAACCTGGTCACATTTAATGTAGCACAATGTCTCATTGTACTATAGTACGATGTGGTTATAGTACATAGCCACATTTGTCTGCAGTATATAGTGTTATGACTTCATGTAGCCTTGCTGGAATGAGTCTACCCTAGTGAGAGTGATTCTGCCGACCGGACCTGACTGAGAGGTTAGAGAAAAGATGGATATATTAAGTAATTGAGTAAACGTCAGTGAGTAGTCTCGGGATACTAGCAGAAGATGGGCGTTGGTAATAAGCGACATAAAGTGAGATGTCGAGACTTTGGGGACGTAAAATGACGCTAATAGGAAGTCGTGACCTTACTTGAGTCGCAACTGTAGTTAGAGATAGTTGTACTTCGTTGATTCTCTCGGAATTAGGAAGAATATAGTTCCCTGTGTTGGTGCTGGAGTGAAGACTACTTGTCTGCAAGTGTGAGGAAGCTGTTGGGGACATAGAACAACATTTCTCTGTGATTTTGATAATTAGAGGCGGCCCGGAAGTGAGTGCTTGGCCATGCCTTTGTGGAACTCTAATTGTTGTGCCTTCAAGAGGAAGGAAATAAGCAAGCGTTTCTGTGGTAGAGCCTGGTGGGCGACGTTGCGAACTCAAGGCCTGAAGGAAGCCTTGTGAGGCAGTCCTGAAGCATTTTTGTGGGCAGCCTGTGTGGGCGCCATTGTTGACTAGGGCCTGAGCACCCCTACGCTACAAATTCTGCAGTTTGTTTGGGAAAAAGTTTGTCGAGAAACTTCGAGGTCAGAGATGAAGTTAATGGAGCAACTTCGAGGCTGGAGAAGACGTGTATGTGGTAGAGCAGAACTCCATATGGAGGAGTTGATTTCAAACAGAGTAGAAGAGCTACACGTGTCTCTGTGGAATCAATGGTAAAGCGTCACTGATGTCGGATTAGGACTTTGTTGTGCAGCAGATTGGGAGAACTGCAGAAGAGCCTTTCCTGATATTTTGGATGTCCTAGAGATCCTCCAAAATTGGTAGTGAGCCTCTCAGAGGCTCTCTATATTCATAGTGAGCCTGTAGGAGCTGAACAGAGGTTCATGGTGGACGCACAGGAATGTATAAGGGGTGTGATTGAA